TGAAAATTTAGAGCAATGTTATGCATAAAAATTATCATGGTAAAAAAAAAAAAAAAAAAAACCCTCAGAAGTGATTTTCTTAAGAAGTTAAAATAGGATGAAAATTTAGAGCAATGTTATGCATAAAAATTATTATGTAAATAAATCAAGAATTAAAAGACTAGTACTAAGTGTCTCTAAAAGTTAATTTCAAAAAAGTAAACTTTTTTATCAGATGGTAACTCAAGATTCGGGTGTGAAATGACAAATAAATTTTCTACCACATGGAAATGATCTGAACATAAGAAAGATATATAGAATATATAAATTCCTAGAAAATTTATTACACACACACACACACACACACACACACACACACATCCTTAGCCCTAAGATATTTTATTTTTGTGAATAAGAAGTATTTAAAATAATATTATCAGGTCAAAAACTAGTTTTCAGATCTCATAAATGTACTTCCTATAAGGCTCAGGAAGTTTTTGCCTTACCTTTAATAATTCAAAATAATGCCAACAATGATACACTGGCACCAGCATAAGACGAGGAAGGACATAACGAACTGCTTCTTTAAAACCATCAGCAATGGACTGCAAAGCAAAAAAAGATGTAATAATGTACCTCTGACTTCAAAGATACATAAAAGCAATTCCTAACAAACAGCTTTAAAAAGTATACAAATTTGTCAAAACTATAATGAAAAGCATAAGCTGTATTGAAATTGTAGTGCCATAAATTAAGTTTTACCTCATTTCCCCCTTTATTAGAGAAATATATTTCTTCGTCTCGGTAAAGCTTAAATAACTCTCACAAAAGTGGTCTGCAGCTTTTCTTTAAACATTTGGGCTTCCATATACCTTAAAGGCATTCTGAAAAGCTATATACTCTCTTGTACATTTTTATGTTGACATTAGAAATGTTCACAGTTTAAATACCTATAAAGCATGTATTTGAAGAGATGTATAATATAAATGTGACTTAAATATATTTCATCAGTGACTGAATACATTTCAGACTAAGGCTATTTAACTTATGAAAAATGTTTGCTTTACAACTTAATTGACAAAGCCAATCTTCATTGGCAAAACAAATAGCCAGATCAAACACTAGTTAGAAATCCTGAGTTGATTATTATATTCAAAAAACATATTAATATGGTCTCAAGGAGTAGAAGCACCAGGAAGAACTTAAAAACTGCTTCTAACATACTACCTCCAGGTAGTATGAGAACTTTACAAGCTGAATTTATACTGAATGAATAATGAAGAACTTTTTAAAAAGTTAATATTCACCTTTGTAATAAGTATCTTGCTTCTTAGTTCTTAGGTAGCCAGATAAATGTGACAAGGCAGAAGGAAATATGACATTCACTACCAAGAGTTTTTACCATAAGCAACCCATATCCTTCTTTTGGATAACCTTACTTTGTATTCAATAAATTCTCAGTAGCAATGTTTTATTTTATTTTGTTTTGTTTTTTCTTTTCACTGGTTCCCTGGAGATTTCTTACATCTTGGATCAATGCATAATAGGAAATTCAATGTGGCAAGGGGTAATGTATAAGAGGAATTGGAAAAGAGAACTTAAAATACATTAAAAAAAAAAAAGGGGTCTCAGGCAAACTAGGAACCAATTCCCCTAAAGTTATCTGTGCATTTTTATCCCTTGAAAAACTTTCATGTGTACCTAGGGATAAGTATATACAGGTGTTGAAAACTGCTAATCTGTAGAATAGATAATTTTCTAAAAGTTATAGGGGTTTAAAATCAACTCATGCTGATTTTTTAAAGTTGACTTACTGATGTTTCTCCCCAAGAAAAACAATGACAAGACCAATATTTAATGTGAGAAAGAATATGATAGGCTTCTTTGTAAACATTTTCCTCATAAACACTCTAATTCAGATATTTATACTACGGACAAAAGTATAAAATAGAAATATGCACTGTATTTTGCAAATTAAATTAGTTGTCAAAGGTAGTTTTTAGCATTATATCCTGATTAGAACACCATGGTAGTGTTATTCAAAAAACATATTAATATGGTCTCAAGGAGGAGAAGCACCAGGAAGAATTTAAAAACTGCTTCTAACATACTACATCCAGGTATAATAAAGATAACAGATAGTAAAATAACAAAACATTAACTGCCCATAGCTTTTCCAATGTATATATTTAAGAGAGATGGGTAAAAAATAATATGAAGATAACTGACAGTAGAGTGAAAAAATGGAAGGGTGGAGTAGCTAGAATGAAGAAAGGTTAGATGGTTTGCTTGCTCGTTTTAAGAATACAGAGTTGATCATTTCATATGCTGGAAGAAAGAGCTAGTCTAGATGTAGAAGTTGCTAGGGTAATTAGTAAAGTATCACTTATGTCAATGAAACATTTAAGTATTGACAGAATAAAAATTTTGCCTCTCTTCATCCATTTTCATTTTATCTAAATGCATTATTAAACCAAGAAATTCATATCTTACTTCTCACTTCAGTATTTATCTTCTCTAAATTGTAGAACTGATAGAGAAACCAATTTGAGAATATACAATATATTCTCATTTCTTTAAAAGATTTCTCCAAATCTTCCTATAGGAAATATGATACTGAAATAGCTCCCCAGATTCAGCTCTATAGTCTCATCTAGAATGTGCCAGATTTTTCTGGTTGTTCAATATTTGCAATGTAGTACTATAAAAGATTTACCACATTAAGAGCAGACTGAAAAAAGATAGAAAACAGAAAATAATTTAAAACGAGCTTAGAATTAATAGATTTTGAAGAACTAATGAAATTTATTCTAGCATTACAAACATTTGAAGTAGAAGATGGTGATGTATTTCTTTATTTGTTTTATAAAAGAAAAGAGCATTTAAGTTAAGTTTACCTGAAAGTGTAGAGCAACTGCAGGTCTAGCCATCAACTTACTAAAATGTTCATTAAACTCTGGTGAAAGAATGTCCTGTGATAATGTTTCATAAGGATCAAATGCTTGCTCCTGTTTTTTAAAAATGAAAATGTATTAGGTTTAAATGAATATCTTTTCTACTAATATGCTAGAGATCATCTAGTGACAAAATTCTATTCAAGTCCTCAATAAAGTATCATCCCTTCTTGCTTTCTACTTTTCAAAAACAAACAATAATTATGTCTGCAACTGATAATTTTTTTTAAATGTAAGCACTGACCTTGAACACTAGATGCCAAGAGGCAATGGATCTTCAAATAAATAACAGACTCTGTGATCACAGGTGTCAAGGTATTAAAATGTACATTTTATTCCCAGTAAATGAGAAGTATATTGATAAGTAAAAGAAGGCTGGAAACTCAAGCTTATCCAAGTTTAAATAAGTTTACATTTACGATACTTTAAAGGAAATAACATTGATACTCAACAGTTTCCAAAATTAAAGAAAGGAGAGCAAAGAGAACAGAACATTAACAGCTCATAGCTTTTCCAATGTATATATTTAAGTAAATTTCTACTCTCCAATAATAACCAATAACTACAATGTCTAATTAGAACTAAGGCTAGTGCTAATGTAAAATGATATGGCCCCCATAAAAACAATTTGGCACCAGGTGTGGTGGCAACACCTATATTCTATTAGAGGCTTGGGAGGCTGAGGCGAGAGGATTGCAAGTTCAAAGCCAGCCTCAGCAACTTAATAAGGCCCTAAGCAACTAGTGAGACCCTTCTTTAAGTAAATAAAAGGGGCTGGGGACTTGGTTCAGTGGTTAAGCACCCCTGGGTTCAATCCCTGGCCAAGGTGGGAGTGGGGTAGAAAATTTGGCAGGTCTTCAAAAAGCAAACATAGAATTACCATATACAACAATAATTTCACTCCTAGGTATACACCTAAAATAAGTGAAAAAAATGCAATGTTATTCATAATAGCTAAAAGGTGGAAATAATACAAATGTCGATCAACAAATGAACAGGATGAATAAAACAAGGTAAAGGTTGAGTATCACTTATCAAAAATGCTTGGAACCTAGAAATATTTCAGATTTTGGAGTTTTCCAGATTTTGGAATATTACATAGATTTTATGGGTTCAGCATCCCTAATCTGAAAATCTGAAATCTGAAACTTCCTGAAATTCCAAACATATTTGAATGATGGCTCGAAATGCTTTGGAATCCAAAACTTTTGAAAGCTGGCTAGCAGTCAAAAAAAAAAAAAAAAAAATTGGGGGGGGTGAGCATGGTGCAGCATGCCTATAATTCCAGCAACTCAGGAGACGAGGTAGGAGGAGTGCAAGTTCAAGATCAGTCTCAGCAAATTAGCAAGGCCCTAAGGACTTAGTAAAACCCTGTCTTAAAATAAAATGTAAAGAAAGAGCTGGGAATATAGCTCAGTGGTTAAGTGACCCTGGGTTCAATCCCTGGTACCAAAAAACTCTTTTTAAAGTTTTGGATTTCAGATTAGTGACGTATATGAAATGGACTATTATTAAGTCACAGAAAGGGGCTGGGGATGTGGCTCAAGCGGCATCGTGCTCGCCTGGCATGCGTGCGGCCCAGGTTCGATCCTCAGCACCACATACAAACAAAGATGTTGTGTCTGCTAAAAAATAAATAATATTTTAAAAATTCTCTCTCTTTTTTAAAAAAAAAAGTCACAGAAAGGAATAACATTCTGACTCATGCACTGACAAGAACTTTAAAACATGCTAAATGAAATAACCAAACACAAAAAAATAAATATATGATTCCACTTACATGAAATACTTAAAATAGGAAAATTCACAGAAATAGAAAGTAGATTAGTGGTTACCAAGAGCTGGGACAGGGAAAACCGGAAGTTATTTCTCATTGTGTAGATTTCTGTTTAGGTGATGAAAAGGTTTTGGAATGAGGTAGGGGTGATGGCTGTACAATACTATGAATTTTAATTAATACAAATGAACTGCACCCCTAAAAATGATTAATATGGGGCTAGAGATGTAGCTCAGCTATGCTGCACTTGCTTAGCATACTTTACATAAAGTCCCAGCCTACTTAAAGTTCTGGGTTCAATCCCCAGTGCCAACAACAACAAAAAAAAGGATAGAAAAGAAAGTTAAAATGGCATTTACATTTATAAACAAAATAAAAATAATATAGTATTTTAGAACTATACAAAAAAATATAATATTTTAGAACCTCATATATCTTTAAGAGTACAACAAATTAACAAGAGAATAACAATTAATATGACATCACAATATAAAAACATTCTATTAAGAATCAAGGCTGAATGTGAAGTATCAGTAACTGAATATTTTCATCCTGTCATTTTCTTTGTCCTACAAAATGGACCTAATAAAATTGATGTATGTTTTCAGAAAAATATAGGCAAAGTTTATAAAATTAGGCACTTTTACATGAAATCTAAAGATAGCACTAAAAGAAATAAAAATGGCCAATAAGTATGAAAGAATGCTTAACATCATTAGTTTTTTTTAAAAAACAATGATATGCATTTCTTTTCCCATTAGAATGTCAAAAATGAACTTTGTTTACAATAAAAAGAGAAAAAAACTATAACCTTCTAAAGATTAGATGTTATGGTATCTCCATATAACAGGGTATTCATATGTAAAAATTCTGGTGAAGTATATTTATTAACATAGAAAACTTTTATAACATACAGGTAAAAAAGGTTATCAAATAGGACAATCAGGGCTGAGGTTGTAGCTCAGTAGTAGAGTGCTTGCCTAGCAAGCACCACATAAAAATAAATAAATAAAATAAATGTAGAAAAGAAATCCAGTCTTTAAAAAAAATAGAACAACCATTTTACTGTAAATACAAATAGGTTTGTATGATACATACAAAAATATTTGTAAGGATTGAGGCTGGGGTTGTGCCTCAGTGGTAGAGAGTTTGCCTATCATGTGTGAGGCACTGAGTTCCATTCTCAGCACTGCATTTAAATAAATGAATAAAATAAAGTCCCATCAACAACTAAAAAAAAAAAAGATATAAAAAAATTTTAAAAGGGATGGGGTTGTGGCTTAGTGGTAGATTGCTCGTCTAGCATATGTGAAGTACTAGGTTCGATCCTCAGCACCACATAAAAATAAACAAATAAAATAAATTCATGGTGCCCATCTACAACTAAAGAAAAATATATTTTTTTAAATTTTAAACATTTCTAAGGATAAATAAATGTTATCTAAAGGACAAGTTATCTCAGGGAGTTGAAAAATAGAATGAATTTCATTTTATTTGTCTCTATTTTTTGAATATTTTGCAATAAGCCACATTAGTTTTCTTTTCAGTTTTGATCTTTTTTAAAATTTTTTTATTCTAATTTGTTATATATGACAGAATACATTATAATTCTTATTACACATATAGAGCACAATTTTTCATATCTCTGATTGTATACAAAGTATATTCACACCATTTTTGTCTTCATACGTGTACTTTGGATAATGATGTCCACCTCATGCCACCATCATTTCTAACACCATGCCCCCTCCCTTCTCCTCCCACCCCTTTGCCCTATCTAGAGTTAATCTATTCCTCCCACGCTCCCCCTCACTACCCCACAATGAATCAAACTCCTTGAATCAGAGAAAACATTCAGCATTTGGTTTTGGGGAATTGGCTAAATTCACTTAGCATTATCTTCTCCAACTCCATCCATTTACCTGCAAATGCCATGATTCTATTCTCTTTTATTGCTGAATAATATTCCATTGTGTATATCCATTCATCTACTGAAGGACACCTAGATTGGTTCTATAATTTAGCTATTGTGAATTGTGCTGCTATAAACATTGATAAAGCCATATTACTTTTATAATCATTTATAAGATTACCAAATAATTTTCTTAAATTATTAAAAATTAATATGAAACTTTTCTATTTTTGAAAATTCAGTCTAAGATTCACAAAAGCTTAAGAACTATGGTCAATAAAATGTATTTTCCTTTACCTTAAATGCACTTACCATTTAAAAAAATATCCTAAATGTTAGTACTCTAGTGTATAAGTTTTCACTAAAAATATTAATATAAGTCACTAAAACTATAAGCAATGTAATTTTAGTTTGCTACTAGTTAAACCTCATATATATATATATTTTTTGGTACAAGAATTGAACCCAGGGGTACTTTATCACTGAGATATATCCCCACTCCTTTTTATATTTATTTATTTTGAGATAGGTTCTCACTAAGTTGCTGAGGTTGGCCTCAAACTTGCGGTCCTCCTCCTTCAATCTCCAAAGTTGCTGGAATTACAGGTGTGCACAACAGCACCTGCCCTTAAGTATTTTTTTAAATAGTAGGCATATTTTACAAAGAATACCTTCCTTAATTTCTTAATACAGTATTTAGGATTTTAATGAGAATTTAAAGTAGTTTTGTAAACTTACTTCTGCCAAATCTTCAAAACAGCTGCCAGCTAAAGGATGAGGACTGCTTTCATCTGTCATTTCAACTGTGTCTTCAATTAAACCTAAAAGTTTCACAGTCAATTCATGTATATCTGAAATGTTACTGAAAATCTTTTCGATATCCTGAAAAAAAGAAAGATTAAGTAAGACCTGTGAGGGTGTGAATTACACTTTAAAATTACTAAATACAAACAGAACATAAGTATTAAAGGTGCATTTTCACCCAAAAAGATACTAATATATTCCAAGACATAGTGAAAGTCAATTGTAAATATCGAAGAAAAATTTCAAAATATCGTGTGTTATAGAGAGTAAAAATACTGGAAAATATAAATTCAGGATAGTTTTCTTCCATAATCCTAAAGCCTCACACCAGGAATGATTCTAAGCAATTCTTTTTTTTTTTAATATTTGTTTTTTAGTTGTAGTTGGACACAATACCTTTATTTTACTTATTTATTTTTATGTGGTGCTGGATCAAACCCAGGGCCTTACACATGCTAGATGAGTGCTCTACCTCTGAACCACAACCCCAGCTCTCTAAGCAATTCTTGAAATAGAGAATTCTGGCATGTGTGTTTCTTCAAAACTGGCTATGATGCTAAACGACCTGATTAAGGTTGTATAGCGTTAGTGAATGACAAGAGCTGAGATCAAACTGAAGATACCTCAGTTTAAAGATACCTCAGATACAGTCTGTTTTTACAATTTGTGACTCATCTCCTGAATTTAAGAAGGAATTAAATATTTCATTCAAAATCCAATGTGTGAATTATATTTAGGTTAAAAAGGTTTGAGTCCTCTGGATATAAACAAATCATATGACTAATTATCCAGGTTGTGATCCACTATTATTCACCCTAGCAACTTGTACTGTAAATATCATGAGCTTTTGAATATAACAAACTTGAGCTTAAATTCTCCACCATGTGTAGCATGAAATGACAAAGTGTTTGGTCTTTGTCCCTGATTTCTATGATGGGGCTCATTTTATCATATAATCTAATCCTCAAAAGAATCCTACCAGAATTGGGTGTTAGTATATCAGATATGTCACCATGAGCAAATTATTTACTTCCATCCTAACTCTATTTAAGGGGAACCCAGGGCTTCAAGGTCAGCAAGGAAAAACAAGAATGAAGAACCCAAATTCAAGTTGAGGTCTCTAACTAACCTGAGTAAGTCATAATTATTTCATGTCAATTTCCCTACTAGAAAAGTAGAAATAATGATACCTACCCTATACATCTCATGACATTGTTATAAAGGCCAAATAAAATACTAAAGGACTTTGAACCACAAAATTCTGATGACTTAAGATCATATGTCAGGTGGGAGTTACTGACATCATTAAACTAAATATATGTACCAAATAAAAAAGGTGTCTAGTATGGTGGCACATGCCTATAATTTCAGCTGCTTGAGAGGCTAAGGCAGAAGGACTCCAAGTTTGAAACCAGACTGGACAACTCAGAGACCTGTCTCAAAATAAACTTTTTTAAAAAAAACATTGTGGATGTAGCTCAGTGGTAGAATTCTCAGTAGAGAATCTGCCTAGCATGCATGAGGCCCCGGGTTTTTGTGCCAGTACTAGAAAAAGAAAAGGTGAGGGAGGGAGGAAAATAAATAAGGTAAAGACCAATTAAAACACCTTAAATTATCATTTAAATTCATAACTCATTCTTTTCGAAAATAATGAGAAAACTAAATCGGTTCTTAACCTTAAACATTCATCCAGCTATGTCTTAACACCACTCTCATTTTTTCATGTAATAGTTATTTTGAGAATGAAGTTAGGAGGTATAAGATAAATAAGCTAAGGGCAGAGTATTTTTAAAATGTGGATGAAACATACAGTTACTTAAAATTAATCATGTGATAAAAGAAGGAAAGAAAAAAATATAAAGATAGTGTTTGTCTATCCATTAAGAGCTGACTTAAGAAGCAATAGAGATAAAAGAAAAAAAGATAAGTCTCTCTGAATCCCCATCCTACTCATGCCACTCCCACCCTGTCTTTAGCAGGGCAGCTCTCCTTTTGTTTATATGTGGCATTCAGTTAAAACTTTAAACTACCGCCTTAAAGTAACTACTAAAAGACAGAAAAAAATCATAGATCTATTTTTTAGACCACACCTTCCAGTGAATAACTAAATCTTAGATATTAAGTAGCAATATTCACACCAGTGTAAACCCCCTCCTTCTAATTTTGTGTCCCCTCCCATGTCACTGCACTTATCATATAACAATTTGCATATTTTAAATCCACAAATATACCAAAGAATATTTATATATGCTAATAAAGTAAAGAACATTACTATTTATAATTTTAAGCTGCTATTTGGTTTGGGGGATATATAGAATTTCAAATCCAAAAGTCACTTACAGAAGGTTTAAATAACTTTCTGTCAGAAAGAAAGGCTTCTCGAAACACTTTTATAATCATATTTAGTTCCCGCAGATACTGTCTTTCTTCTGCAATTTCAGTTCTGACAAGATCATAGTAGTTTAATTCACCTGAAGAACTAGGTTCATCTTCACAGAGAGAAACCAAACCTATATCATCCTGATCAAACATGTCCATCAAAACCTGAGAAATATAAATCAGGAATATATAAAGTTATTTTCTTTACTTTAGTAAAACTGTCTCAAAAAACTTGAAATTGCAATATTAAACAATGAGAATTATAGGTATTATAGGCAGATTTATACTAGAAAATTTAGGAGAAAAAAGAAAAATGTAAAGATGAAGGTAAAAAATGTTAAAGTCAAACTGGATATGGAAAAATAAATACTTCTGAAAATAAGACAAACCTAATGGTGAAATATACACATATGTATAGGTATGCATCTATATGTATACACACATGTATGTAATATAAGATACACATACATACATACAAACATATGTAAAAAAGAGCATACATGAATCTGAACCAAATCCCAGTTCAGCCACTTACTGAACTATGATTATGAACAAGTGATTTATTCTTCTGTAAATAAGATAACCTATATGTAAAATGTCATTGATGGAAGAATTCAATGAGGTAATGTACATAAATGTATACTACCATGTCTGGTGAATAGTAGGTATTTGCATGGTAGCTCCTTATTGTATTATAAAGAAAGTTGTATGCACTTGGGTAGAGTTAAAAAGGGAAAAGTGGCTGGGCATGGTGGCACACTCCTGTAATCCTAGTGGCTCAGGAGGCTGAGACAGGAGGATAATGAGTTCAAGGCCAGTCTCAGCAAAACAAAACAAAACAAAACAAACAAACAAACAAATAAACAGAAAGAAGAAAGAAGCTAAGCTTCTTTCTGTGAAAGAAAGAAAAGAAAGAAAGAGACAGTGAGACGCTGTCTCTAAATAAATACAAAATAAGGCTGTGGATGTGGCTCAGCAGTAAAGTGCCTCTGAGTTCAATCCTCGGTACCTCTCACCCAAAATGGGAAAAGTGAAATGATATATTGTAAAGGTAGACAGTTGATAACAGTATGAATCTTCTGATGCATACAATCAGCTTTTTGTATATATGGGTTCCATATCCAAAGATTCAATATACCTCAAATCAAATTATTAGAAAAAGAAAAACTGCACCTGTGTTGAATATGTATAAAGACTATTCTTCTTGTCATTATTTCCTAAACAAAAAATTTACACAGCATTTATGTTGTGTTACATATCACAAGTAATCTACAGATGAGATATGCATAGTTTAAATACAAATACTATGTGAGAAACCAGAGAAGATCCTGGTACCAATTCCAACAGACACCAAAGAACAACTTATTTACCATATCAACAACTGCTATTAAGTTTACTTGCTAACTCCAAATATCGTACTGACGCTCAAATAGCTATAGTAACAATTTCTTCTCTCAGAAATAGTAAAAACTGCTACTATATATTAAGTCTGCCAATAGGCAAGAACTTTTAGTAAATCAAAAGCAACAGCAAGCAAGGCATTCCAAGTGGCTCAGGAAGCTGAGGGAAGAGGATCACGAGTTCAAGGCAGGTCTCAGCAAAAGTGAGATGCTAAGCAACTCAGCGAGACCCTGTCTCTAAATAAAATACAAAATAGTGCTGGGGATGTGGCTCAGTGGTCGAGTGCTCCAGAGTTAAATCCCCAGTACCACAGGGGGAAAAAAAAAAGCAACAGCAATAAGGTGACCACACATTTTAAAAATTAATTATAGTTACAAAAATAGATTCTACCTAGGTAATTATAATTCAAAAATGAATAAAAAGAATTCTCATAATCCAGGGGGAAAAAGATATTATCCTGAAAAGAAAACTCCAAAGTAAAACTCTTCAAAGGCATAAAGGAAAATTCTGACAACACAGTAAGAGATAACATTCATTCAGAAAAAGACCTACATATCACCAGAAATTGTACCAGGTGTTGGTAAATTACCATAAAGAAGAAACTAAAAATGAACCCTGCCCTCCTGATCCTTGTAACTCTAACTCAGAAATCTCTCTTAGGGGGTTGGGGTTGTGACTTAGTGGTAGAGAGCTTGCCTAGCATGTGTGGGGTACCACGTTTAATCCTCAGTACCACATAAGCATAAACAAATAAAATAAAGGCATTGTGTCCATCTATAACTAAAAACATTAAAAAAAAAGAAATCTCTCTTACACCTGGTTGGTTATCTCTATCCCCTTCCATGCTCTAGATTAGACTATTAAACAATCAGCATCTCTTACAAGGATATACAAGTCCCAGAATTTGATCTGTCTGCCACAAGTCTTCCCATTCCCATTTCCAAAATTATGTTCTTAAAAACAAATTTGTATCATCAAATGTGGTGATGCACACTTATAATCCCAGTTACTTGAAGGCTGAGGCAGGAGGATCATTATTCAAGACCAATCTGGGCAATTTGAGAAACTCTCTCTCAAAACAAAAAATAAGAAGAGTTGGGAATAAGCTCAGTAGCAGAATACGTACCTACCATACATGAGGCTCTGGGTTTAATTACCACACACACACACACACACACACACACACACACACACACACAAAAAAAAAAAAAGAAGATAAAAATGATACTGCATTTCATTGCCTTCTGCATAAAATTTTATTTTATTTTTTTTAGGATAAAAGCCATTTATAATTTAAACCCAACCTATTTTCTCAAATCCCTTGGATCCCTCCCTCTCCTCTTCATTGCCCACTCCATGTGACATACCTTCTTATCACTGAACATCATTTACCCCTAATTCCTAGTCATTTAGACTTTGAAGAAACCCATGGGGTTACACAGGGAATTTGCTGATACAATCTAATTTTAAACAAATATTCAAAATGAAAGGTATGACACATAAAAACACACAAAAAAGAGCTATCACTCTCTTTTTTTCTCCCTTATCAAAGATCCTTTTAGAACAGTCTATACCTGCTGTCTCTTCTCACTCCTATTCACTTAACAAGCCCATTAGTCTATAAAATTGGTCTCCTTGATGATTTTCTAGTATCAGATCTAATGGTATATTTTTGTCTTTTTATAGGTAACCATCTCTACTTCTTAAAACATTCCCTTCCCTTGGTTTCTAAAAAGCCATCTGGCAATGGGGCCTCCTTCTCTACACTTAATTCTCTACCATCTACTCCAGGGTTCCATTCTTAGAATTCTTTTTGCAACTACTAAAGTTTGGCTAAGTGTCTCCTAAGGCCCATGAGTTAAAGGTTTGGAACTACTGGGAAGTGGTAGAACCTTTAAGAAGTGAGGTCTTGTGGGAAGTAGGTAGGTCACTGGGGGCATGCCCTTGAAGGGTATATTAGGACCACAGTTCTTGAGTTTTTACTTTCTGGAAACCATGAGGAGAGTGGGCTGTTTCACCATGCACTATTTGCAATGGTATGCAAGTAGTGCATGGTGAAACAAGAACAACTGATCAAGCAACAAGAACAACTGATCATGGACTGTAATCTTGAAAACTCTGAGTCAAAGTAAACCTTCACTCTTTTTGATTGTCTCAGATATTTTGTTATAGTTATGAAACACTGATACACAGTAACAAAACCAAAAGTCCTGAATTTAAATAGTAGAGGAATCAGGCAGGTAACATCTATATAAGAAATAGTAGAGACTGTGACAAATTGGAAGATGTATGCACCTTAAGAGAAAGTCTACTGTTCAATGTCAGCTATTTTCTCTTAGGCTTTTTGCCTTTCTTTTTTCAATAAAAATACAGAATCCAGATCTCTATGTGAAAAAAATTATTTATAAATACAAACAGATGGGAAAATTTAATTTTTTAAAAATCTCGAGGCTTTATTCACTACCAAGCTTCCAGTCTAAAAACATCTGCTATCCTTGCTCCATGAGTAAGTTCATCCCCTTAGATGATTTCCAATTACTATCTAGATCACAATGATTCCTAAACATTTATATGTAGTCTCAGCATCTCTCTGGACCCTAGACAAATGTTGCCAAAGCTTAATATCTCCTTGTCTAACAAAACCTACATATATATGCTCCATCTCAGAATCATTAATAATATCACTTGGTCTTCATAACTACAAAACTTGCCATTACCTTAGACTTATTACTTATCCCATTTTTCTCCTATATCCAATCTATCCCCAAATCCTGTTGACTCTAACTCAGAATATCTCTTAAATCTGTTCAATTCCCTCTATTACTTTTTAAAAAATGTCTTCACTTACTTCCTCCCTCTTTTCCAACTGTTACATTTATTCATCTGACCAATACCTACCCACTTTTTTCATCATTTAGCTCAAATGTAATTTTTATATAGTTTTTCCAAACTCTCCCTCTCTACCAGATTTTCCTACCAGCTTCAGTTGTCCATTAGCAATCTTCTATTTCCTATAGAAACAACTAACTTATAATGAAATTTCTATTCATATCTGTTTTCCCCCATTAGCCAATGACCTTCTAATGATTAAAAACCATGCTGTCACCTTAAAATACACATCATCTGACATATAATAAATGTACCGAACATACTTGTTTAATCTTTAAACAAGTATATGTGGCCAAGTGAAGAGGAACACACTTTTAATCCCAGCCACTCAGGAGGATGAGGCAGGAGAATCACAAGTTCAAGGCCAGGCTGGGCAATTCAGTGAGATGCTGTCTCAAAATAAAATAAAAAAGAAAGGGCTAGGGATATAGCTTGGTGGGGAAAAGCCCCTAAGTTCAAACCCCAGTACCATAAAAAATAGTAAGATAAATAAGAAGCATATGTATAGTGTATTTATTTTAAAACTATTATACTTGTAAAAAAGGGTAAAGGCAAAATTAGTGAAGAATCATAAAAACTATTAGGACAATTAAAGTATTTTGGGGTCATGTTTATAACAAGAACAATCAAGTAGAGGCAGTTCTTGGGGCTGGGGTTGTGGCTCAGTGGTAATGCGCTTGCCTAGCATGCGTGAGGCACTGGGTTCAATTCTCAGCACCATAGAATACCCCAGAAGAGCCAAGTGCTTTTATTTTTTTTATTTTTTTCAGTTGTAGTTGGACACGATGCCTTTATTTTATTTATTTTTATGTGGTGCTGAGGATCAAACCCAGGACTTGCATGCGCTCTACTGCTGAGCCACAACCCCAGGCACC